ACGACTTCACCTCTCTGGGCCTGGCTGGTGGGATGAAAACAGGTAATGTAAACAGCATGTCTAGCACACTTGACCAGGAGTAGGTGCTCTTTGCTGGAAGAAATGGCTGTAGGCTAGTGGTTTTCCCTTTTAGAGCCTCAGTATATTATAGTAATTCCTCCATCCTGCTTCCCCAGGAAGATAAGAGAGGGTCTTAATGGGCTGCAAGGAGGGCCAGTCCCGGGGTCAAACCCTGACCCCTCCTGGGCGGGAAGTCCCTCACGTCTATGCCAGCAGCCACCAAGGTGCGTGCGAGCCAGCCAGGTGTGGTGGCCAGGTGTGGCTTAGGGTGCTGCGTGCAGGGTGGGGCTGCTATCTGGCTTACTCCGTCTTATCAGACTGTGGCTGGCCACCCCTCGCCCCTTGGAACAAAGAAGCTTTGAGAACGAGACTAGGGTGTGGGCCTCAGGCTGAGCCCCAGGAGGTACAGCCGCCGAGAGGCCAGAGGGCACAGGATAGGGGAGCTGCCACCGCCAGCCCTGTCGGGTAAGTTTCCCCTTGCAGGGCACTCTCCTAGTGAAGGAACTGGGCCTGTGTCCTCCCCCAAGGCCTCCTTTGCTGGAGTCCAACCTCTTCTGGGCACTTCCCCCCTCCAGCTCTCCCAGACAAGCCCTCAACTCCACCCCCTCACCAGGTGCACCATTTCCCCTTTCCTCCCGTCTGTCTCTCCGTCTCTGTCTGGGCCTTCTAGCTCCTACCACACCGGCTTCCAGTCCCTGAGCGTGCCCTGAACTTCCCCTCTGTGCATCTACTCCTGATGATCCATCCACACCTACCCTTGCCCAAGTCACTCCCGCCCCTGAAGGCCCAGCCTGAAGCCACCTCCCGGAAGTCTCTGGGCGTTGTGCGTCCCAGCACAGCCTTGTCTAATCCTTCTGTGCTTCCTTCAGTGTCTCACTGCACAAGCTTTCTCTGAATATTCATCCCACGCAGAATCGGCTGAGTCTGGCAGAGGCCGAGGCCTGCCAGAACCAGAGTTCTATGGTTGTACAAGTTGTACACTGCACAAGGGCTCTGGCTGGGCAGACTAGGAGGCTTAAATCCAGACGCTCTGCACGCCCTGGTCTGCATTCTGCACTAGGCTCTCCTAAAAGGACTTCCTCCTCCTGACGCCTGGGCAGACCAGTTGCCTTTTGTGTCCCTGAGGGGGCGCCTTTGCTAACCTTTTCAATTTTCGGTTTCCATACCCAGGACACAGGCTCTGGCAGCTGGCTGCTGCCTCAAGGACTGTTGTTGGTTCTGCCTGTCCCAACACTGGGCTGCTCACCGTCAGAAAGCCTTGGACATCACTCATAGGTGTGGCTCCTAAGGCCAAAGAAGGGTCAAGTTCAAGGTGCTAGGGTGAAGAAGCTGGGTTTCATGCTTCAGAACCCCAAAGTTGGGGCCAGCTGGTAGCATGGTGGTTACAGTAGCTGCACCCCACATGGCTGACAGCGCTGTTCTAGTCCTAGACCCAGTGGCTTGAAAAACGCAGTGGGCATGTGTGCATGCAAAATCCTGAAAGGAAAATGGAGAAGAGATTGCTATGTGGCCATTCCCCTTGGGGGGTGCTTTCTCACTTTCCCTCTCTCTCTCTCTGTTTCTCTGGCAAGTGAGGTGCTAGGGTGAAGAAGCTGGGTTTCATGCTTCAGAACCCCAAAGTTGGGGCCAGCTGGTAGCATGGTGGTTACAGTAGCTGCACCCCACATGGCTGACAGCGCTGTTCTAGTCCTAGACCCAGTGGCTTGAAAAACGCAGTGGGCATGTGTGCATGCAAAATCCTGAAAGGAAAATGGAGAAGAGATTGCTATGTGGCCATTCCCCTTGGGGGGTGCTTTCTCACTTTCCCTCTCTCTCTCTCTGTTTCTCTGGCAAGTGCATGTGTCCTGTGGCAAACAAACAAACAAAAACAGAAACAAATTGGACCTGGCCCTTTCCTCACCTGCTCTGGTCCTCCGACCTCAGCCTCAGTGGCAGCCATTCTACTGGTGGTGACCAGTAACCTTCTTTCTGACCCCCTGCCATTTCCCCAGCTGACGTCACCAACTTCTCTCCCCAGGTGGACTCCTTGCTTCCATGGCTGGCTCCTGGAGCCCCTCCACACAGTAGCCAAGTGAGCTTCTGGGAACAATCTGGTATGAGCCTCCCAGCTTCCAACCTCCAGGTGCTCCCTAGGCCCTGGGAACCAAGTCCAAACGCACAGAGCACAGACAGCTTCCGGCAGCCTCCCTCTCCGCTTTTCCCAAGCCCACATGCACCTGCATAGCTTTGCAGGGTTGGCCTAATGGGGTTCCTCCAGGCCTTCCACTTTCTGTACCCTCAGCATGGATTCCTTCTTTCTTCCTGCCTGCCTGGCAAACTCCTTGCCCCAGGGAGTCTTGCTGAAGTCTTCACCTTCAGGAAGTCTCCCCAGTTGCCAGCTGCTCAGAGGTCTTCCCATCGTCCCCCCAAGAGGATGTGAGGTCACTCAGCACATGTGTGGTCATTTCTCTCTCCCGTTTCTGAGTTCACTGAGAGCAGCCACGGTGTCCTTCCTCCCGCCTCCCAGCGCCTGACATGAAGCATCCAGTAAACATTGACTGAATGGAGAGCAGAGTCCTGGATGCTGCAGCCACGGGGGCTGAGCTGGGTCCAGGGGGAGAGGCAGGTCTCAGGTCTGCTGTCTGGGCCTGGGCGCTGTGGGCGACGTTCCCCTGGGCCTCGGCATCATGCGGTGGGTGGGAGGGACTGGGGCCATCACGCTGCAGACATGAGAAAAAAGATGACTTCCAGTCTGTCTCTGTGGTCTCCTGTCACTCTGTCTTCTCAGATTTAAACTTAGTAGCCCAGAAAAGCTGTAGGACCCTACCCTGACCGCAAGGTTGATCTTTTGAGAGTCTGAATTTGGACTTTTTTTTTTTTTATTAATCTTAGTAATTTTTGTTTCTTGAATCTTTTTTCCCTTTATTCAAAAAAAGAGTATGTGTGCATGCGAGAGAGACAGACAGAGACTGGGTCTCGGGCACTTGCCTGGAGTGTGTCAGGTTCACAGCAGCAGGTTTGAACTGAGGTCGCCATGTGGGATCTCATTTCCCTGCACCGCTGAGCAGGCCCAGTTTTCTGGATCTTTGAAGAATGAAGGTGTCTCCTGCGGAGGCCTTCAGAAAGGTCTGAGGGCCAGGTTTTGTAGGAGAGGCTCCCATCTCTCCGTCTCTCCCCCTCTCTCTCTCTTTCCTCCCTCCAGGACCTGGAAGGCCATCTACTGCATGCATTCCTACTCAAGTATTCAACAGGATCCACAGGGAGAGAATGTGCGAATGAATGGACAAGAACACCTCCATTCTGATTTGCTATTTCTCACTGAATATGAGTTCGTGGACGCACTGGTCCCTGCGAGCCTGCACAGAGAGAGCATGCCAGGGAGATGGTCCATAGACACAGAGGTCTCTGTATGGACACAGCAGATTTCCAGACCTGAAATGCTGACAGTGACCTTCTGAGAGGTGGGAGGGACCCAAAGGTACCAAGAAAAAAAAAAAAAAAAAAAAAAAAGGCCTTGTGGGCCCAAGAGCCAACCTGGTAGGAGTCAAGCTTCTGTCACTTGCTATATACTTTGGGGCAAGTTATTTAACCTCCCTGTGCTTCTCTGTTGTCATCTGGAAAATGACAATACCAAAGTACATCCTACCTAGGCTTGTTATGAGGGTTAAGTGAGCTCCTAAGTATAAAGATGTAGAATAATGGCTAGCAATGGGTAGTGCTCTCAAACAATGGCAGTTACCCTTATAACCTGCGGAGGCCTATTTTCCTGGAAAAGTAAGATTTTCTCTGGAGCGTTCCTTCCTAGAGTCAGGAGGTAGGAAGGCAGGACACTGAGTAGCCATCTCCACTCCCTCCAACACGGTCATCTATGCAAAACGATAGAACTTGGCAGTGGCATGCTTTAACCACTGGCTGTTCATGGAGGAGAACCTTAATTTGTAGCATCTGCCAATTTCCATGGCATTCCATAGCTACCATGGTCTATTTCAAATTCTTGGGGAAAAAAAAGAATTTAAGAGAGATTTTTGCTATAGGGTAGGTGTGCTCACCAGAGAGACAGAAAGCGAGAAATCACCCCCCTCCCCCTAGGAGATGGCCACACCACAATCCCTTCTCCTCCATTCTTCTCTCTCTTGGGATGTTGGGCATGCATGCACATGCGCGCCCAGTGTGTTTTAAGCCGCCGAGTCTGGGACTCGAACTGCGGTCAACTATATGGGAGTCTACCGATGTAACCATTATGTCATCTGCTGGTTCCTCAAATTCCTGAAAATGTAACAGTTGTACCATAACCTGGAATCTCAGCGGATCTGTAATAAGTACAGAAACATTTGTCTTGGATGGAGGGCCTGAAAGTTGAGGTGCTAGACACTGGGCAGTGTTGGTCAGTGTGGTCCACAGGCTACCCGCCCTGTTTGTGGTGTTTTGTAAAAAGTTTCTGAGCCCTGCCCTTCCAGGTAGAATCTTGGAAGGGAGGCCAGGAATCCTCTTTACACCAACTGCTGGGCCCCAGGAATCCTCTTTAAACAAGCTGTCCAGTTGATTCTGAGATCTTAGAACAGCTAGGTTAAGGACTTAGGACTTGTCCAAGAAGTCAAGATAAGCTACAAGATGAGTCGTGGGATTCTACAGATTCTTTTCATACTTGGCGTTGTTACCAACAGGCCCCAAGAAAGACCAGAGTAAGCAGGAAAAGCGCCTTGACTCAGCCCCGTGAGACAGGCGGCAGGAGTGAAGTGCACATGGATTCGTTACTCCATTCTCTCTGGTCCGACCACGCATGATGCAAACGCTGGCGTCGGTGTGTGAAGCACGTGCACAGCTCTCTGATGGGACTTCGCAGAGCCACGGGGGGACAAAGGTGAGCCAGGCCTCAGGGAGGAGGAGAGCGCATCCCCACACAGACTCACTGATGGCTCCAAATGGTTATTAGTGCCATTCAGCATCCTGGACTCTGTGACTCCAACAACTTAAATAATTTTTATTACAAAAGGAAGAAAAAAACATCCCCCCAATTCTCCTGTGGGCTTCCTCCTCCGCGCCAATAAATAAGGTGGGGAGACTGACCGGAGGAAGGGGTGGGGGTCATGGTTTGGCAGAAAAAGGAGCTTGGGGGGCCAGGGGTGGCAAGGACATCCAGCCTACCTCCCCTGGTCCCAGGCCCTATGGTCACATTGGCTGGAATGCAGAGCCCTGCCCATGACAGTCAATGCCTGTGTCTTGAGGAGTGTGGCCAGGGAGGAAGGTCATGCCTCAGGATGGCCAGAGTGGCCACCTCACCCGGGTGGCCTTCTCAGCTCTGGGCAGCATTGAGTCCAGCCATCTCCTGGCTGGCTCCCAGGGTATCTAGCAGCATCAACTGAGGTGCAAGCCCACCTAAGGGGGGCCCAAGCCAGGTGCACTGGGCCCTCTCCACCAGGGGAGGCAGGGTGTGAAGTCGCAGTGAGAGCTGGCCGGTCTGGGAGCCCCCGTGCCAGCCTGCAGATCTGTAGATATAACGACAGGCCGTCCCCACTGCCAGCTCAGCTTGCAGCTCTATCACTATGCCAAGAGGGACAAGGGACACTGGCATTGCTCAGTCAAATCTCATGATGTAACTCCACGCTGGAGGACATGGCAGGAACTGGTGTCCCCAGCTCAAGTCTCTTCTAGGGCCAGTGTCCTCCTGGCAGGGAGGACCTTGGACCCAGTATGGCAGTTCCTGGAGGGCAGTGGTGGGGTTCTTTCAGCTCCCTGCCCCGGACATGCCCAGGGGGTGGAAGCTGCCTTCTTCAAGCAAGAGACGCCCCAGGCGGTAAAGTAGCTGGGGGTACCAGTGTATGCCCTCACCCGGGGTCCAGCTGCCCCACGCCAAACTGTGAAACAGTCGCAGGGGCCAGAAGGCCAGCTGAGCCAGGTGGTGGTCAGCCACGGCTGCGAAGCAGGATGCCACCACATCCTCCACCACCAGCGTCCCGTGTCTTGTGAGTGGGGCATAGGCTCCGAGGGCCACGTGTGTGGAGACAGCTGCCACTCGGGCAGGCTGAAGTCCTGGCGCCCCAGCCACCAGCACATACTGGCCAGGTTGCACATGGCTGGCGAATGTCGCCCTGAAGTGAGCTACTGGCTCTGTGTGATTGTCAGCTGTGAAGAGCAGGTGGGCGGGTGTGAGGGCCAGGCGGCGTGGGGGGTCCTGGGTCTCGATGACCTGGAAGGCCCTCAGCCTGTCAGGCTCGCGGTCCAGGAAAATGAGCACATCACTGAAGGTGGGGCTTCCGTCCTCCCCCATGGCCAGCACTCGGTCTCCTGGCCTCACGGCTGACAAGGCCACACGTGCCCCGCTCTCCAGGCGCACCTGGGCTCCAGCGGGGAAGCAACCGCCTGTCTTGGCTGCTGCTGAGTGCTCTGTGGGAGGAAGGGACAGCAAGATGTTACTGCTGGGTCCCCAGTCATGACGCCCTCCCCAGGCCACCGGGCCAGCCAGACTCCTCTCGCTCCCAAGCAACCCTCCGTCACCACATCCAGCCCCTACGCCCCACTCCACAGTCTACGATGCGCTCTAAGCCTTTACCAAAGAGAGGAGCATACTGGGGCTCCAGATCCAGAAGGGGAGGGGGGAAAGGGCTCTCCTGAAACCCAGGTGACACCCCCATCTGGCCATATCCTGAGCAAGCTGTGAAATGGCCAGAAGCCAAGGTCAGCTGAGCCAGGCCAAGGTCGGCTGTGACCGTGGAAAGGTCCTGTAACCAGGAAAGCTACGGCCTCACAGAGGAGGGAAGCTGTTAGCTCCTCTGGGGTCTAGATGTCCCGTTATTTCCCACCCCTTGACTGGATACTCCCCAAAATTTGCCCTCTCAGACACCCCAGGTTCTGTGACAGAGCTGGCCCTTTGAGTCCATGGAAGTGGGATGAGTAGACCGCCGGGGCAGCCTTGAGTAACCGGTCAGGTCAGGGGTGGGCTGGGGTAGGGACACCATTACTGTCCAGTTCATGTGCTGGGTCCTTGTGCGGGGATAGGCGGGGCAAAGGCGGGGTGGCTGGGAACTGCGTTTGGGGTCAGGGGTAATGAATGGAGGCGGCCGCCTGGGAGCTGGCTCTGTGCCCCTGTTTGCAGGTAGGGGGTGGATGGGATGTGACTGGCTTGGAAGCGCTGTGCAGAGAGAATGGGAGTGGCTGCTGGGCAGGCGGGCATGAGCCCAGGTAGGCCCAGGAGTGCCACGATGCGGACCTGGTCTCAGTGTGCTGGGTCTGTGAGTGTGACTACTACACGGTGCGCGGTGGAGGCTGAGCCTGCGGCCTGGCGGGGCAGCCTCCGTCATCATCCGTGACTGGGTCAGTGCAGGTGACAGGGATGCTGACAGACTTGAGAACTTGTTGCTGATCAACAAGGCAGCCAATCTGGGAAAATCCACTTTATTAAGTCCACTTTGTTGATTCTGGTCCTCATGGCTGGCTTTGCCTCAAGATGTCCAGCTTTAGGGCCCTGAGGGAGAGTTGGGGGTGCCTGCATCCCCTGGAAGACCTGACCTGCAGCTGGGTGGTGGGTTCTGAACCTCCCTGCTCTGGGGCTCCTGGTCAGGAAGGCCGCTGTCTGGGCACGCCCGGCGCCTGACCCCACCAGCAGCCTTGTTCTGCACCAGGCGTGTCTGCCAGCCTGGCTTCCTCCATCTGTCCAGCTTGCTCTGTCTTGTACCTCCTGTAGCAGGCTCTGGACTGTGGACGTCCCGGTCAGCCCCCACTGGTGCTGGGACAGGGCCCTGTCTCCCTAGGCTCCTGCGAGACACTACCAGGCGTGGGAGGAGCAGGTGGTCACCAGCAGCCTCTGGGAGCACCGCAGTCATCCTCTTCCCCGAGTTCCCCGCCTCCTCTCCCAGGCAGGCCTCTTCACCTCAGCCCCAGCTGGCACTGGGCTACGTGCCCATGCCCTGCGGCCCCGGCCCTGGGCCCACCCCCCCGGCAGCGGCTCACCGGACTTGACGGAGCAATGCACGTGGGCCTTGGACTCGTAATACACCCAGTCAAAGCCGGCCTCCACGGCCAGGCGTGCCAGCAGTCCGTACTTGTTGCGGTCACGGTCCGATGTGGTGATGTCCACTGCACGGCCCTCGTAGTGCAGGGACTCCTCTGAATGGTGGCCGTCCTCATCCCAGCCCTCGGTTACCCGCAGCTTCACGCCAGGCCACTGGTTCATCACCGAGATGGCCAGCGAGTTCAGGCGGTCTTTACAGCGCTGAGAAAGGGATGTGCACCGAGTTAGGGGGTGCAGCCGGCAGGACCACCTGTGCAGGTGCAGCCTCCCTCTGGACTCTCCCACCACACCCGCTGGAGTTGGAAAACGGGGGGCAGAGGGTGCTCACCCTCTTTCTTTGGAATAAAGGGGTCCAATGTGCTCCCTCAAATTCTAGCTAGCATCAGGCGCCCCCAGGGACCTGGATCCCACAGTGGCGCCACAAATCTGGAGGACTCAAGGAGGGATGCACCCTCCTCACTTGCTGTCCCCATGCCCCACCCCCATCTGGGTATTGGCCCCTCTATAGAGTGGCTACACCTTTTCAGTGCCAGGTCCCTGGTCTCCACAAGACAGGAGGACCGATCCCGACCAGGAGGGAGGAGCTGATAGGGGAACAGACGGCCTGCGGCTGGCCTGCTGGGCGTGCAAGGCCCAAGGCGCCCAGTAGGTGTCACCGCAGCCTCAGGGCTGAGGTTCTGGACGCGCCCGGCTCTGGAGGCCCGGCAGGTGCAGAACACCCCCGTAGCGCTGAGGGAAGGAATATAGGAAGGGAATCCCCGGAGCGCCACAGAGCTTTGCTGCTGGGAACCTCTTAAGATCCCAAACGGCCCGCACGGGTGCAGGAAATACAGAAGCTTGAGAATCAGAAGCTGGTGGGCTAGTGCCCGGGTCGCCCGATGGGGGGCGACGCGGAGAGTCTCTCTCTGCAAGGGCGCGCACGGTGCTGACATTCCCAGAGCCCGCGGCGTTTCTGCGCCCGTGCGCCGCCTCTACGTGGGAAGACACCTGAGAAGCAGAGCCTTTAGCGGGCTTCACGATCCTCCTCCTTTAGGGGTCGGGGAAGAGCCACGCCCTGGTGGAAGGCTGGGAGAGACCATCGGTTGTTGCTGCCTCCCGGTGTACCTGGGTTCTGAGGGCCCAGGGGACAAAGCAGCTGACTGAGGGAAGTGAACACGGAGGCCGGAATTTCGGCTTTCGGGGAAGGGGGCCCTCCACCAGCCCTTCACTCTGTGCCCGGCTCCAAGTATGGGCAACCCCGTCTCAACCTACCCCCACCCCGCGGAGCCCGAGCCCCATAGACCCTTGGACTCAACCTCCCCTGAGCCAACAGCGGCGACAACTCAAGCCTGGGCTAGTCCTCCCCGGCGCGCAGCCTGGTTGGGGGTGCTCACGGCCGGAGAGCGAGCTCCGCGTGCTTCTTCCTGGTACGAGCCGCCAGGCTTCTAGCCCCTACCTATGTCCGCCCCAAGGGCCGGGGCTCCCCGCCCCACTGGCCCCCCTCCATTGGATCCAAAGCCTGGGCGCGCGCTGTCAATGATTGCCCAGCCCGTGGCCCGGATCCTTATCTGCATTCCTCGGCGCCCGGCCCGGCCCGGCCACCAGCCAACCTTCGGCCCCAGCCCCGGCGCCAGGGCGCATGTTGAAGGCCTTGGTCTAGCTGCTCTTCCTAAAGGATCTGGAAAACTGACCGCCCGCTAGCGGGGGAAGCCCCGGGAGACGCCAGAGGAAGGGGGCGTAGGTCTCTACCTCGCCGGCCAGGCTTGCAGGGAAGGAAGTGTGCGCTCCTGCGCTTGGGTGGAGCGCGGGTCCTGCTTCGAGCGTGCAGACCAGCAGCTCTGCTCTCTGGCAACCGCGGCATCCCAGCCCCTTTTCTTCCAGTCCTTCCCGTCACTACCACCGAGCCCAGGGATCCCCCCAAGTTGAGTCCCAGCGTCCGAGTCCCGGAGGCGGTTTTTTCCCGTTTAGCCGCACCCGCCGCTCAGTTCTCGGGACAGACACGTGGGCTCGCCGGAGAGTTCCCTTTCCCACCTCCTCCTCCCAGTCCACTCTTCCCTGCCGTTCCTTATGCCCAAACCCAGCCGGGACGGTGCTCCAGGAGCGGGCAGCTCAGCCGACCAAGAGCGCAAGGGGAGAAAAGGCAGTAGGGCCCTCGGTGCCCAGGGCTCCTTGCCCGGGAGTGTGGAATGGCTTCGAAGTGAAAGGGACGCAGCAGGGTGGAAGATTAGCCTGGGAGGGACTGGTGGGCCCCTGAGGCGCAGGAGGCAGCTGGGTCGAGGCACCTCAGGGCGCCGCGTCTGGCCTGAGCTGCCAGCACTCTGCGGCAGAGGGGCGGCCGCCAACCTGTTGGGCTGTGGGGCTTGGCAGCGGAGAACTCTTCTCGAAGACTCCGGCAGGCTCAGAGATGCCGACGCTGCCGCCGAGACCCCTAGCAGGCCAACCTTGGGCAGAAGGTACATACTGCCAAGCTTGGCGAGAGGGGCAGGTGCCAGGGGGCGTGCCGAGCAGTCGAGAGAAGGTGCCAGGGGGCGGGCAGGGCCGGGCAGGTGGCTGGGCTTCGGCGGCGGCGCCCGGGGAGGCGGATCGCGCTCACCTGGGTCATGAGGCGGTCGGCGCCGGTGTTCTCCTCGTCCTTGAAGATGATGTCGGGG